CTCTTGGCGCTGGGAGCCGAGTTCTCAAATCATTTCGGCACTGGGCCTCTGGTGCTTACGTCGGCCGCGCGGCGTACAGTACAGTATCGTAGGCCAAGTCTATGTCTGTAAAAATGTGAGGATCTGAGCCTTGCAGTATTGTCCTGCCGATCACCTTGTCACCCCGATTATAATTTGCTTCCCGGGCGGTACGATCTCGAAAATATAAGTGTTAGAGTTCAAAGGCGGCATCTCTATACCCCTTTTAGACAAGGTTTGATTTGCCGATTTAGAGTTTCCAGTGCTGAAGCCGCCGACACTGGGCACCAAGTGTTGACGTAACTTCGGCACTGGAGATCTAGGACGGAAGCCGCCTCACCTCTGTATACCGAGTGCTGAGAAAGGAACCCGTTACTTCGGTACTTTTGCCAGCCGAAGAGCGACAGGGGCACCTGGGAGACATGGAGGGAAAATCTAAGGCCGAGCTGGTGGACCTTTTACGGAGGCAGGAATCACTCCTCAGCAACAGGTTGTGATGACTTAATTGATGTTACATTTCGCATGCTGTTGAGTGTTGTGATGATTGTTATCTGTATCTTTTACGGAACACATTTCCAGGAGACACGGAAATCGAGCAACTTTTTATTCACTCTCTTTTTGTGTAGATTGTAGGTATCAAGGAGGTTGTAGGTATCAAGGTAGATTGTAACTCACAGTTCTATAACCTCCTTGTAATCATGGAGGTAGAAACTTTTACCTCCATGTTGTAATGTATTGACAGAGCAAGGAACCTCCTTGGTCGCAGAGTTTTATAGAATATCATGGTATTATAGAATCTCAGAGAAGCCACAACCAGATTTTTTTCAACCCAGGAGGTTCCTGAATTCTTTGCCAGACAAAGGTGCAAGGATTATTGCCATGGTGAAAAGACTTCATCAACTCATCCATCAAAAAGAGGAAATAGAGTCAGCAATGGAGAAACTACAGAAGATGCGGATTTCATCTCAGGAAATCACAACAATACAGGAAGACATGGAAGAGGAAGAACAGTGTCAAATAGAAGAAGAGACACTACCCCACAATGATATTGAGGAAATTCCAGAACAACAGAATGTCAGCAATAAAACTGAAGTCAACAAACTTTATGACAACATCTCAGTATCTGCAAATCAAGATGGTAAACTGTTGACCAAAGAGCAGCAAAGAACAAAAAGTTTCATGGCAAAATATTCTGAGGGAAAGGTGGAAACGCCAAGGTTAAATATGTAAGTATTATTTCATATATATTGTGGAACTACTGTACATGTAATAGATTGATTCCATTGCACAACCCACCTCAGTTAAAATCCACAAATTGTACAAATACAAGAAATCTATTAAAGTTCCAATTGTAAATATTTAGATATTTGAGGTATTCTTCTTGTTTTAGTTCTTATGAATTGTGAACTGCATTTTCCAACTGGCTCCTATAAAGTAACAGACATGCATATAGAGAAAAAGTTGACCATACTGGGACCTTTGACTAAACTTCCTGTCAGTGCCCCCTACCTGCTTAACATGTGGAACACAAGCAAACACACAGACACTGAAAAGAAAACCTCCACACACATAACTGTTACATTTACTATGTAAAATTGTACTACTAATTTGTAGAAATGCGAAGAATTGACCTAGGTTTATTCCTATTATGAGCAGATTGTTATGTATAGGGTAAACAAATAATTATAAACATGTACGGTTCATTATTTTCAGAGCCATTAAACAGGACACTTCAGCAGAAATAATAGCTAAAGAGACTGGACTAAAGCCCACCCCACCGCAGAAGCACAAGTCACAAATAGCTGTAGAGGAGACTGCTGCCACCCCTCCCCAGTACAAACATGGTATAACCCATGAACTTCCCTTAGACCAAGCCATAGAGCTGTGGCAAAATCAGCAGAGGAAACAAGAGGTGAGATGACAGTAACTTTTGTTTTTCATCCCATCACTGCATGACATTTTTGACATTCATGTTCTGATAAATTAATGCATGTAACATTACACAGTTCATGTAACAGTCACAATAAATAGTGTATTCTAATATGAAAAGACTTTAAGACTATAATGT